CCTCCTGAAAAAGAATTTTTCTGTTAGTTGCAAATCATAATGTTTTGATTACAACTAAGTAAATTATTATTTACCAAGATTTATGACTTTAATCCAGTTAAATAATTAAAGAAATAAGAATCTCAGCAATGGAAGAAATATTGTGTTATTTGTCCTGCTGTCTTGCAAATTATACTCGCATTTGTCGCGCTTTTCCAACTCCAACGACACGCTTTAGCATATCTCCACAATCCCGATTCATATGTCTTGGATGTGCCCATTCCTTAGATGTCATCCCCGAAAAATGCTCGAATCCTTGGCTTCCTTTCACAGAACCAGGATCTTCCTTCGACTCGGCGCACATAAATCATTATTGTCGCTGCGTTTATTTTTGACTTTGACAGGACTACCACTTATGTGTTTATGTTGGCCATGAGAAGGAGAAACTGAGAAAGGAAAATGGGATGAGACTTAGATGGGACGCTGTGGGAGATGTCCGCCAAATTGTTTCCCTACATTGAAGCCCTTTTATTTAATTCCTTAAATTATTTTAATATGTTATGGATTTTTTGGTGCTAAAATTATATAATAAAAAACTGTAAAAAACAAAATAACTTATACTGAATCATTTTTCTATTTCAGATTTTATATGACAACATTTAAGGTAATAAGTTTTAAAAAATAAATGAACGAAGGCCATACTCATTTTTTAAATTATTCTAATTACTTTTTAAAGACTCTGACAACTGGAAAATTCTAGTAGATTTTCTTCTTATATTCACAGTCCATTTAACTCAGCCTTACCTCGCAGGACTCTCACACCAATTTCTGCAATCTCGACTTGGGACAGTTTAATTAATACATTTTATAAATCACAAGCAAAACACCCATCTTCATCCCCGATAAGGGGCTCTGGGAGCCCCAACCCCACTGGGACACATACAAATTTGCATGCCGGACATCGTTGGACATTTGCTAAATGACCACAACACTTAGGCCAAGATTTATTTGCAGCAAGCCAGCTTGGGCTTGGGTTTCATTGTAGCCAAGTTGGTGCTTACTTTTCAGTGAGCACACACAAAAATAGAGATATAATTGAAAGGGGTCTACGCTTGAATTTTACACACTTCATTTAGCCGCTGGCTGTATTGCCCCATCTCAGAAGCGACCTCCCGATTGCTAACTGTGGGCGTTGATTAGTTTGCTTAGCCAAAAAAATTAACCCAACGTCGAGCATAAAGTGACTCTTCTGAAAAAAGTTATGAGGGGAAAGAGTTATTTGCAATAAATTTAAGTGCTGGGTGGACTGGCGGCAAAAAGCGAGCACTGGAAGTTACAGTTTCTAATTTATGACAAATGCACATGCCCGTCTTGAAGTTTTTGGCCTGACCAGGAACTCGGGCTAAAATCGAGACTGGACCAGGCCCCACCCACCTACATTTGTGTATCGTTACGTTATGTTGTTTCGAACAAACTTATTGGGCGATGGGTTTTGTGGTCTCGCAATGCGGCAACTCGATTTCCAATTTACTAAATTTGCATGCTCAAGTGTTGCGTAAAGCGTTGGTTATAGTTTCTGAACCAAAAATTTGCGAGCATTTGTTATGATAAATTGCACAGCAGGCGGTGCCACAAAAAGGGGCAGAGACAGAAACTGAAACTTGAAAATTTAATTTAAGGAATTTAAACATAAATAATAATCCATAACTTCCCTTACAAATTATTTAAAATACCTTAATATACATAGACTAAAAGTTAATTTGAAAAATTCTGATAATAATATAGACAATGTTATTTGTATTGAGAAAACTTTCGTCCTTTTAACTCGGAAATTCTAATCATCAATTGCAATCTAAGTCACGCCTCCTGACAAAGTTCTGCACTCCCTTGAGTGCCAAAAACTATTTTCAATTACAAAACAAGCTCCTGGAGAAGTGACCTGAGGGGCAGAAGGACCTAGCTGGCATCCACAATTTAATCACAGCATGTGGTCGGAATATCAAATTTTCGTATCGAAATCGAATAACTCAGAAGCCGAAATGCTAGAAGTCAGCAATTATCTAAAAAGCGAGCAGCGGCAACATCCTGCGAAAAGGATAATAGTGCTGAGCCAGCAATTTGCACGGACCAATTTGGAATGTGTCCCGCTGCTGGCATATTTACACAGAAACATTTCCAAACAGGCAGAAAGAAGAGCAGCCATAAATCACTCCACTGGGCACAAAGGCCACATACCAAAAGGATCTGAATTATATACAAATGATTTGACATGGCCAAAAGCTAGGGGGTTGCATGGCCAGAACATATTTCAGTGGCGGCCGCGGAGACGATGCCAAAGTTCAAGATAAGCGGAGCTGGCAAATAGAAAAATCTGTAATTGCCAAGGAGCCTTCGAAATCTATTTGGTTTTAAAATAAAATGTTTAAGCTTTACAGTTTCTTTGAAAAATCAAACCCAGTATCAGTTAAACTTATTTAACTTGCGATGCAAAACGTTTCATATTCGAAAGTAAAATAGGAAGCCGATAAACTAACATGACCACAGGAACGCTCTAAATCACCCCTAGTAAGCTGAATTAGACAACTTTTAGTGAGACGATTTAAGTTCAATTTTTCTTCTTGTTAAGTTTATTTTAAAGAGCGCTCCAAATTATTCAGCCATATTCGATGAGAATCAGTTTTAATTACCATTAACATTCTGGGCCGGGCAGCATCTGAATTTCCAATCCGGCCTCGAACAAGCTTTCTTTGTTCGCATTTTAATTGCCTGGCGGCGGACTCCTTGGGCCCCTGACATCGGCTATTAATGAAATGCTTTTTAAATTATGTCATTAACATTGCAGCCAGTGCCATCTAGGACTGGTTTATCTTGGCCAGAGCCAGAGGTTCTGGATAATTATGGCATATTTTTATTGGCTGGCCATCGAATCGGAATTAGATGCTTGTAAATAGCTCACAACAATTATTTCATTAGGTTTTGAGCCTGCCGAAGAAGAAGGTTTTCAATGGCCAACAGAATGGGATTCTCCAAGTACATCCCCGGATCTCAAGCTCTGCCAGGTGATAAACTACCGATGGGGCAAGGGGACAAGCCCGTCCACATGCGGTCGCGGTCATATTGGCCCTATTATAAATGACTGGATGTGAACCGCCTGTCATGTTTTATCTTTATTCCCGTGCATTTTCGGTGGCCAGGCGGAGTGTCTGCACATTTTCCGATTCATATTTTTTCCCCAGCTAGCCTGCCAGCCATCCAGCCAGCACGATGACGATAATGGCGCTTGCAGGCCCACTGACGTTTCTAGCAAAGTGACTCGCATTAAGGATAATAGAGGCAACTAAAAGCAAGCCACCACAACATGAAACAAAGCAGACCACAACGGTTTAGATTCGGAGGATGAGCCATGGCGATGACTGCCAGCGATTTGCGCATCATTATCCTTGGAAAGGAAGGGAAGACTTTCGGCAGAGGTCCCTGGCCCCAAGATGTCCATCAGCGGCCAGAAAGAAAAGCTGCACTGCCTCCTGGCCGCATATCCTGGTACTTCCTGCCTCTGACGTTTCCGTCGTCATCCTGCACGGAGAGAAACAGGATAGAGTTGGGATATGAATTTGAAACAAAGTTGGATCTATTTTTTATTATATTTTCATACGTAAATAATATTGAAAAAAACTTAGTAAATAGTTATCTCAAGAAGTAAAGCCAATCTAGCCTTGTTTCTTCCAGTGTGACGTTCATGGAATGATTTATCGTCGCCTTGAGGACTCAAGTGTCGCACCCCCAAAAGCCATGGAATGTCCTGCAATTGACAATTGTCCATTGTGCTTAAGGAGAAGATCTCGCCGCCCTCGTCCCAGTTTCTTACCTCCACTAACCAAACCTGAGCTGGCCAAGACAAACTAAGCAAATATTTATTAAGCGAATTAAAGTCGCGTCTCACAAATTGCCGGCAAATCCCCCGGAATACAAATGACTGGAGATTTCTCATGGCTGAACATTTGATGCAGGTCATTTCGACACCGAAACAGTTGCCCCATGACTCGGCAGCTTCCACTAAGGAATTATGCGCTCTAGCGCCTCATGCTATCCAGCCAAATATTCTGTCATCATTAGTCAAAGCTTTAAGCCGATTTAATCAATAGCAATTTCCAGCCAAAATAGGGAACATCTCCTCTTTCCGGAGTGCTAACAACACAAACCCAATTGCGTGTCCTCCGAGGCTGGCCGAAAAATTATGGAAAATTAAATGGAGCCTCACGTGCCATATGCCTGAATTAACCACCATGTTGCCAGCTGGTCCTCTCTCGCCACATTTTTGGCCAACATACTGATGAAATGGAATTCAAAAGGGCTACCGATTGACTGGCACTCATTAAACAATTACCGTTTGGGGTTTCTTTTGCCAATTCCATTTTAGTTTGTGTTTTTGATAGCCAAGTGTTGGCCTTAAATCACACCACTTTAAGACGGGATAATAAGAACGCTCTTATAAGGACACCATTATGTGTTTTATGTCTTCCCTCTTTTCTTAAGACAAATGGCCGAACAAAAAGCGAGCTAATCGGGGCGAAAGTTGCAACAATGTAACCGAAAATACATGTGGTTAGATAATATAGAAAGCCTGTCGTATATTTAAAAACATTTTTTAATGCATTACATTTATTAATATTTCCAATATTTTTCTATATATTTATATATTATTTTTAAACAAACTTTTGGGTGTAACTGTATTTTTTGGGCATTAACCTTAACCTTGCTTCACCCTTACTTCGCTCTTATATACTCCTCTGTTTTTCTTTTAAGTACTTCATAGTATAAGACGAAAGGCGTGTTAATGAGCGTTTCATATGCCGCAGAAATTGAAATTAAAGCGAGTAATAAACATACGCCATACGACAAATTTCGTTAACTTTCGAAAAGCAACTGTTTAAATATTTGCAAAGTCGAATCAACATTCTTCGCCGGCGATCAAGTGAGTCAAGCGAGGCAAGACTACGATCAGTTAACGTCTGAACGCCGATTTAGCCAAATATATATATTTTACGATTCCAGTTTTCCGTTATCTAACCATGTCTAATCGCAATCTGGTTAAAGTTTTTCTTCTGGTGTCTTTACTCACCTTGAGCCTGGTGCCTTTTAGTCAAGCAAATCCTAAACGTGGTCGTAAGCGGGCTTTTGGTAAGTGATTAAATATATTTAGTATCCTAAAAAATCGATAAGTAACCTGCCTTAATAGTATAAGGAAAGTAATAAGTAATAAGGAAAATACTTTTGTTTTTGTTGGGTATATAACTTACAAGATTTTTGAGAAGTCAAAATTATATAAAACTTTTTCCTGAAATTAAATCATTGAGAAAATAACCTATTGGAAGTTAATTTTTCATTTTATGGAAATTTGAAATAAGAAATTTTTTTAATCTTAATTTCATTTCATTTTAAATGTTTAAATGTTAAAGTTATATTAAAGTTAAACTTATATTAAATATTTCAAAAGAAAAAGATTATGACTTATAAGAGACTTTTTAAGAGACATAAGACTTTTAAGAGAAAAACGTAGAAATTATTACAACTTTTAATATATTCTCTCTGCGATTATCCATAGGGGTTGGTCTTTTGGGTGGAGCACTTGCCGGAGGTGTTATAGGCAATGTCTTGGCCAGGTCCCATCAGGCTCCTGCTGCTGCACCCGCTGCTCCGGTGGCAGTGGTCCATCATCACTATCCGGCTGGAGCTCCTGTAATCGCTTCCCCCGTTGCATTGGCAGGACCAGCCAATCCAGAACCGAAGAAGATGACCGTCATCGAAACCGGCACTCCCGATGCCAATGGATGCTACAAACAAACCATCCGGGAACCCAATCCCAACAATCCCAAATCATATACGGAAACCCAACACCTGATTTGTCCCACGCTGCAGCAAGCCAACCAGCCCGCTCCTGCAATTGCTCCAAGTGTTGTCCAGGTGCCTGTCATGCCGCAGCCCTCGCCAGTGTTCCCTCCACCTGCGGCAGGACATCCAGCTCCAGCTGCTCCTGTTGCTTCTCCAGTTGCTGCTCCTATTGCTCATGTAGTTCCTGCTGCCCCTGTCGCTTCTTCAGCTCCTGTAGTTCCTGTTGCCGTGGCTATTCCAGCTCCCGCTCCGGCTGCCCCCGCTGTACAACCCAATGCTGGCCAACCCCAGGTCATCCTGCTCTCCAAGAAAACCGTATACTACCCCAAAAAGCGATCCTCTGCACCTTCACTCATCGTTCCGCAGGGAGTGCTGTTCTTGCTAGTGATTTTCCACTCCATCAAGGCTTTTATCTTTTAAATCAAGAAATAGTTTTACAAATTTATTAATTTCAAATCAGATAGACACTTTCTTAATCTTCCTTTTTGATTATTTTGTATTAATAAAACCCAATAAAATAATAGGAATCCCTCAACAAAAGCTTTTGTTTTTTAATTGTCATTTTTGGACATTTTAAGGAGAAATTTATAAATTTTTCTATTTATTTTTTTGTATAAAAATTATTATTTTGAATTTTTTAAGGAAATTTCTTAATACAGTATTTAAATTAAAATCCGAGGTATACTAATACTAATTATTTTATACTAAATAATTTCGGATTTTGAGAATTAACTTCTAAGTCAACCGATTAGATTCTCACTTCCACAAGTCACTTACAGTAAATTTATTTTGGCAATAATATTTTTACCATTAGGACTTTAAAAACAAAGTAGGTTAAGGCAAAAATAATCAGTGTCCTCATATATGGGTTTCAAAAGTCATCAATTGGTGTCGCATCTTTAGTTTCTTACTATTTTCAGCAAAAGGTGGATTACGACCTCTTTATTTTATACGAAACTTTACACGCCACTTACACTTTTGGCGCTTTTGGCGTCCCTCTTGCGGCAGGTAGTGTTAGTAGTTCGAGTATTAGCAAACGCAGCAATCCAGCAATCTGGCAGCATCATTTAAATGTAGAGTGTTGATAGATGGCGGCTTTATCTTCTCCATTTGAAAAATGTAGAATTGCTTTGTAGAAAACATGTTAGTTTATTTAATATTTCCTATTCTTTTTAATTAAAGTATTCAATATTTAATTTTAATCTTGTATTGATATGTGAAAAGAGTTTGACAAACTGCCAGTGGCTTTTAGCCAGCGATTTACTGCCTGAATAGCTACAATTTATTTTGCAATAATCCATTAAAATGGTCCATTAAACGACCTCATACTCCTCTTACACTGAAGAAGCAATTATGTTTTTAGGAGGGGGAAGACTGTTCCGCAATTTTTAAGTCTTCCAAATTACTCAGCATTTCCTCTGTATCAGCGTTCAGTAAATTTTCTTCCATAGCGGTATTCTCCTCAATAAGTTTAGTTGCCAACTGGAAACCCATGGTATCCTTAAGTTCTGAATTCAGTTCTTGAAATTTCTGAATGGTGGACTGCATTTTCTTCATCTTTCGCTGGGTTTCCTTCAATAGGTTCTGAAAATTATCAGTTTGAAATATTAGTTTATATAAATATTGTATGTATTGTTTGTATATACAATTATTTTTCCTACCTACCTTATAGTCCGATATTTTTCCCAAGTGATCAATCTTTTTGTGGTTCATTTCCTTATTGACCACACTTTGATATAGGCACATGTTTTCATACTTGATCTGCCGAATATGGAACATTTTTGTTTCCTTTAAGTAAAGAAAAGAAGTAATCAACTTATCCAGTTCTCGTTTGCGAGGGTCTTCCATTTTAATTAAAATATTAAGAATAAAATTTGGACTTTTTTTAAATGTGACAAGTTAGATGTCTTTGACTGAATGATTTTAAAAGCAAAGGTTGCCGGCATATATTTAGAAAGCCTACTAACACTAATCAAACTAAACTTCTAATTTCCACTTCTTGTGATATAATAATTACGACACATAAATAATAATTTGTTTGTAAAATGTATAATTTATTTAATTTAATTTGCTATTTTTCTGGATTTAAAAGTATTAAATTTCAAGCTTTATATTTTCACAAATACATTTTTATTCGTATAAAGTTGCTTACTACTTAACCAGATGAATTTATTTAGGAAAAGCGTCAAAATATTATTTCATTTCCACTTCAGAAAAGCTTCACGTTGAAAAAATATATAAAATTAATTTCTGATTTTCCGAAACTATAAGAACAAATTAGTTTAGCACGACTTACAAATCGCTTACTTATTTTGGAAAATATTGTTTTTATTATTTAATAAATAATTTAGGATTTATAAAGAAACAAGATTATTACATATTATACATTACATTAGTAGCAACAGAAAGTGGAGTATGGCTTATTTATTTTACAAGATTGTTACACACAATTTACATTTTGCTTCTGGCTCCATCTAGTGGTAAGTAGCTGCACGAGTATTTTCCATTGCTTCAAGCAATCTTCCTGTATCGGTGAAATGGGTAGAATTTGTAGATTGCGCTCTACAGTTTCCCATTTGAAAAACATAAAATAAATTTGTAGGGAAATGCTTTGTTTATTAATTTAATGCATTCTTTTTAATTAATTAAAAAATTAATTTAGAACTTGTATTGAATTGTAAAAGATTGAGAAACTTCAAGCGGCTGAGATTTAAGAATAATCCATTAAAATAACGACCATTAACTAACTCTTCTTACTTACATATATTTTTTGGAGGGGAGAAGACTATTCCGATATTTTCAAGTCTTCAAAATCAATATGCATTTCGTCGGCATCAGCGTTAAACAAATTCTCATCCATAGCCGCATTTTCCTTAATAATTTCAGTCGCATACTGAAATGTCGTGGTATACATTAGGTCGGCATTCTGTTCTTGAAATTTCTGGACCCTGGACAGCAATTCCTTCATCTTTCGTTGGGTTCCATTCAATAGTATCTGAATAGGATATAGACTCCTATATTCAGAATTGATCGTCTGCAAATTGAAGTTCTGGGTATCCTTCACGTAAAGAAATGCATTAACCAACTTCATCAGTTTTCGTTCACGCTGATCTTCCATTTTATTTTTAAAATTTTTAGAAAAATTGAGACTGGTTTGAACGTTACAAGGTACAAGATTGAATGATTTTAAAAGGAAATGTTGCTGACATATGTTTCAAAAGCCTACTAAGGAATTTTAAATACTTAACAAAACAAATTCCTATGAGGTCTAAGTTACCGTTTAAGTTAATGTCAGAATAATATTTCATGTGAAGGTAAAGTATTATTTCAAATAAAAGCCAGTTGTTCAATAGACCAGTTAGCTTGTTAAATAAAGGAAAAAAATATGTTTTTTATTCGTCGTCGAAACTCAAACGATGGACCTTTGTGCCACTCCACTCCGGAACCCGAGAGAGCTCGTTCCAATCTTCCCGTGAGCGTCTTTGGCTGGTATCGTGTATTGATATTTAGTTGGAATCGTCGGCAATCCATTAACAAAGTGTTTCTGCGTCTCCGGCGAATTTTGAGTCCGTTGCGGCTAGAACCTCTTTATCAACACTACGGCGGGGAATATGATGTGGCTGAGGATTCCGGCGCTTTCTTCACATTCTACGTAAACAGTTACAACACTGCAAGCGCTTTGTTTCGCATTGAAAGACTGGATAATCAAGTTTGGTTAAGGGTCAGCCATGGGTTTCCCACGATCCGCATTAATTCTGCTTTCAGAAGGCGGTTGGAACTGGTGCTCCGTGGCAGATATGATCCTGACCAGCAGCGCAGCCTGGATCTCACACTCTTTCAACAAGATGAGGCATTGCGTGGGGTGTTCTGTGTCCTGGCTGAACGTCACTTCATGACCGCGTTGGTCGAAATAATGGAGGAAGTTATGCCGGAGTTGGAGCGTCTGATATTGGACCAGAATCACATTAGCAACCTATGGGGCTTCTTTTATATGGAGAGGCGCTTTCCCTGCCTTCACAGTATCTCTCTCAAAAACAACGACATCAAGAGTATTCTTGTATTGCAAGTTTTCCAAAATCTTCCTCTAATCGACCTGAACCTTAAGTGGAATCCACTGCCCAATGGTTATGACCAAGATGTCATTAATATTTGGCCAAGTCTCCGGGTTCTGAATAACATTCAACTGACCCCTAAACTGGGAATTCCTGATTTCGTGGAAAAACTTTGGCAGCTCACAGATATGAATAGATTATGGTGCTGGAACCTGCTAAGGCAATACAATGGAGACTATAATCAGGCAGTTTTAGCTCTCATGGATATGCAACAACGTGGCCTTATGTCCTTTGCTAGAATGCTTTACTTGTAAAAACGATGAAGGAACGGGTGATTAAATAAATAATAAATTCAATAAATGCTTCTACAAATATCATCGACTACAGATTAGTAAAAGAAGCCAGCAAATATACTTAATTGTTTTCCTTTATTGATAATGCCAGTTTTGTCTAAAGAGTAGATTATAAAACTAGTTTATAGGCAAAGCTTTACATAAAGACACCCCTATAGTTAATCCTCACAAGACATGATATATTCTTATATTTACCAAAGATCTTTGAAGGTAAAAGCACACAACAGTAAACTCTGTTCGGGGTCTTGGCTTTTTCACACACTTAGATCGTTAGTTTCTTAGGCCACTTCAATTACGTAATTTGCCTGTTAACCCAAATGTAATGTCCTTACTCAGAAACCAAGAAAAGTTTCCTTTTTCGGCGACTTTTTGGCATAGAACTTTTTACTTTTTACTTTTTTACTTTTCACTTTGTGTATTTCTCCATGGCCGAAGAGAAAAGCTCAAAAGGTGAACCGTTTGCCACTACCACTACCACTCTGCCACACTACCGCTGCCACTGCCACTGCAGTTGTTGTCGTTATTTTGTTTCCCGAGTGCAAAATGAGTTACAAATTATTAAAAGAGACGTGGACACAACGCCTACGCACTGGCAACAGTTTTCCACGCCGACCGCAGGCAGCGATTACACTGAGCCAAAGAACGGGAGATTCAAGCAATGTAATATGATGACTGACATCTTTGCAGAGGCCCATTAAATAGTAGTACGAGATAATTATTCTGGATAAGTGCCAGGTAATTTTTAAGAATTTGTATAAAGACAACGATCGAATTTGATCACAAGATTGTATTTATTTTTATCATTAATTTTTATTGTGTATTTGTAAGAGCGAGAATGAGAATGGAAAAAGTAATGGAAACAAGAAGTGGTTGCTGCGGTGCGATGTTGGCCCAAACGGAAGTTGGCGCTGATGGCCGGGCTTTGGCTTTGGCCAACTTCAAGATGCTGTTCCCAGGGCATGGGCCACTCGCTTTTCACTTTCTTGGCACTTTATTTTAATTTCTGAGGCGTTCCAAAGTTTCCTCTCTCCGTTTTTTCCAACACTTCCATCGCTGCCCGTAGTTAGTTGCGGCTAAGTAGAAATTACTCCTACTTGCGGCTTGGCCGCTCACTTTTTTTTAGGTCAAACGGGTAGGCAGCTCTCGGTGGCAGCAGCCTAATGTAGAATGCCACGAGCCTTCTACCACTGTAAAGGTTAAAGTCCATATCTCTGAACAATAAATTGATATATCTGCATTCTTACTAGGTTTTACATTTATCGCGTCAGTTACAGAAGTCTTTGGGATAAACAGTGCCTTAGAATAGTTTTCAATAAGTCATTTCACTTCATTCCACTTTGAAAAATACTTTTTGAATTGAAGTGTGAAAAGATTCTGATCAACTTTAAGCGCCTAAGTAACTAGAATCAATTTAGTAAGTTAACGTTTTTGATTTAAGGTATTAAGTTAACATCCCTTAAAATAATGCTTAACGACCTTCTTTTAAGCTCCATAAGAGTTAAAAGAGTATCCCGAAGATCTCAGTTCTGCTTCGGTATCAGCGCTTAGTTTATTCTGTTCGACTGACACGTTTTCCTCCACAAGTTCGGTTGCATCCAGGAAAGCCCTTGTAACCTTGAGATCCCCGTTCCGTTCTTGAATTGTGGACTGCAATTTCTTCATCTTGTGCTTAGTTTTCTTCAATTTGATCTGCAAATAATAATTATTTTTGTATACAACATAATATTTTCGCCAACACACATTCATAACGTTTTAGAAATAAAATATTTTTTTATTTTATTCACCTTACAATCCTGTATTTTTCCGGAGTTGTCCTGTTTTTTGTGGGCCACTTTTGCATTTACTAGATTTTCATACTTGATCTGCTGCCTGAAGAACCTATAGCTTTCCTGCGCATAGCAAATCAAATTCAACAACTCCGTCAGCTTCAGTATGCGACCGTCTTCCATACTAATTAAATTTTTTTAAATTTTTGGACTGAATGTTTTGATATGCTAAAGTTTCTGGGTTATGGTTTTGTTTGTTTGTCAAAAATTCTAAGCACAACTGATCAAACTCAATTTGTAGTTACTCAAAACTACGATATAAAAACTTTGGCACATTCGGGAAACTCTAACAAAATAAAGTTTTAAGAAACCTCACCTGAATGTCCTTTTGGTCGAAGGAAGTTAAGTTGAACTTTAATCATACATAAACGATAAAACTTCCAACAGTCAAAGCTGATGGACATTTGTGCTTGTTATTTGTATTTTAAACCAACTGATAGGATTCATTTAAGTAAAACTACCTTTAGTTGCAGCCGTAAACATGAAGAAAGTAAAGAGGTAAGGTGTGATATTCCCAGGGATCTATTTTAAGTATTTTTCAAGTTTCCTATACAAGTCAAACATGTTCATTTTCAACCCTTGAGTATTAACAAAATAAGATATCGTATATGAACACATTTTTTAAGTAGATACTCTCTTAGATACTGCAAGTTCAATCAGATTGTCTACAATTTTTATGTCAACACATGCTCTTTAAAAATTTAAGTAAGGTTTCCAGAACTAAACAAGCAAATGAAATCCCTGAAATCCTAAAAGGTATTAAGAATTTAATTTGTCTACAAATCCCACAATGTTACTATTCAGCATCCTCGCCTCTTAAGGGGAAAGCGTGTGCATTGTATTGATTTTTAGCATTCTTCTTGCTTTCTTTGAGAGCCACATAAAAAGGATGAAATCAGGAAATGACAGAGTGCTGAGTGCGGAGTGCATAAATACAATTTATGTATGCATGTTTTGTGTTTTCCCCTCTCAGTTTCTTTTACTTTTTCCCGATCAGCCGTTTTTCGGGGGTTTTGGGGACGACAACTGGGGGCGTGGCATGAGCCATAAAGCTAACAAATTGCTGACACAACATATGAATGACAATATATCTGCTGTGGAACCAGCCAGCTGAGTGGCTGCTGCTGAATAACGTATGATTTAAGGATGACACAAATGGGGGACGGTTGTATAAAACCTAACTTAACTATTAAATAAAAAGGTTAATTTTAAGTGCAAAAACTTTAAAAATCACCCCTTGCGATGAGACACTTCATTCGAAATACAACACCTCCAACACCTTTCCCGTTTTAAGAATAAATTATCTCTTAACTTTGAAGAGCACAATCAATTGAGATACAACAATTGAGATACGAAAAAATCAGGGAGACTTAAAGCTTAAATAAACACAAACATCGGAATAAATAAGTATATGTAAACGAATTGGGTCAAGCGGAAAAATTCATTTCCATTTTAGCCAATCCGAATAAAGGGTGTCCCCAAAAGAAATGGGGAAAATTATGCAACATTTTTATTGAATTTTTGCGCCAAGGTCATCGTCACTGCTAGGAAGGCATATGTATTCTTTATTGTTAGGAATATATTCTGAATCTGGACTAGCAGCGGGAACTTCCCAGCTGGCAGTTCAATTAATCAAATTGACACTTTTTCGACGACAGATCAAGGCCATCTTAATACTTTGGGGTATAGAATGGCTTTTGGCATTTGACATCCGTTTCTGGTGTGTATAACATTGCCAATGAATCAGGAATCCCTGGGAGGTGCCTGGATCTATATGTGGATGACTGAGGGGGAAGCCAGAACCTCTATAGTTTCGATTTGCCGCCGGACTTCTGACAGACAAATGTTGTTCAATATACGACGTTTGACTTTGTGGCCCATGGAAACAAAAAACCGGAAGTGCGAGTGGCTTTGTGGTTGCGAAATTGGGTTGGGTGGCCCAACTGTGTGCGTGTTGCCGGTGTTTGTTGGGTGGGGTTCAAGTCCCTCTGCTGTTGACAGGTTAGTTCCCATTTCCAGGCGGGGGCCTATCCTATTCCTATCCCATAACCTAAGGCGAATATTATCTGTAACTAAGAATCTGATACGCAGTAGAAGATCAAGCTGATTTTCTGCATATCAACGAAACCAAAATTCGAATCTATGATATCATTTTACCAATTGGTTAAAAATAATTGCTAGAAAAACAAATGCATATGTGTTAAGATAGATAAGATAGGAAACATCTGAAAGCAAAAGAATATAAAAAACAAAAGTATTTTTCATATAATTTTTACAAGATGATTGCAGGTCATCAACAACTCAACCTTAAAGGCAAGAAAGATTTATTTAAGTTAAATGATTGGAGAACAATATTTTGCTGCTGCTATTATAACCCAAACAATATTAATAGCAGTTGGCTGACCAGCTGACCAAATAATAATCAACAACGATTACAGCGATTTGTCAAAAGGGCTCTTAAATGGCGTGAAAGTGGGCCAAAGAGAAAGTTTAAAGAAACTAAACTTACTAACAACTTTTGTAATTGATTGCAACGAACTTGTTTTGCGCTTATGGGATTCTTTCAGAAAATAAAATAAATAGTGTTTAATATAGGAAATTATCAGATATTAAGACACCACATGTGGGGAATCGAGAACATTGATTGGGAATTTAGTAAAAAGATTTTCTTAAAAATGTTTTTTGTCAAACTGGAATGGCATTTCATGTATTCAGCTTTAAGCTGTTTCTTCATCTTCAAAAAAAGAAGAAAAATCGACAACATTTTCATTTCTATTTACACATTTTCAGCATAAAAGGTTCGGATAGGAAATGCAAACACAGTCATAATCAGCCTACAGACACCTACACAAGTGCGTAAGCGTAATACGCCAGTCCATGTGAGCTTATGACAAGGATTGCTTAAAAAATTGTTTCCTTCTATGCGGAGAAGAAGAATGGAAATGAATTACATCAAGCGTTTAAAATAGACACGCTGTCGATGGATGGAAATGAAATTTGTAAATAAATCAAAACATACAATAAGATGGAAATGTGAAAAGGTATCAACCGCTTTGAAGATCGAAAATACTTTAAAACTGATGCTTTAATACTAATTACTTTGAATTGAATTTTTTCCGAGGGCTTTGAGAGGGTCGATGAAAAAATGATTCTTTGTTATTCTTTTGCAGATGATTCTCACCTGTCCGTCTGCCTGCCTAGCAACTGCAAATGAGTGCCATAAGCTTACACCTATGAAAAGCCGAAGAAAACCTTGGAAAAAAGGCAGGCAAAGCGTTAAACCGTTAGCAGCTAGATTGAGCCGAGCAGCTGCCGGCGACACCTTGCAACAGTTGCCTGAAGAAAAAACCGCACTGCTAATACCATCATCCTGTGCACTGAGCAAACAAATCTCTACAACTTGTAGGAATATTTTATACGACATTCGATGGAAAGTAAATCCACTTTCTCCCATGGCATAAGAAATTTTAAATAAACTAAAACTTAATATTGCTCTAGATGATATAGTAATTAATCCAGATCTATCTTGTCTAACCTGCATGACCAGGTGGTAGAAATCCATACTATAATCGAGATTTAACTAGATTTTTTTCTCTCAGTGTAGAATACGCGTCACTGCTTTGCATACATATGCATTGTGGTTAAGCAATTTGCAGCAAACGGAATGAAAGTGCTAAGCGCATTGGCCGTCAGTTTTTGCCTTGCCTTCGGTAGTGTGTGGAGTGTGTGTGTGTGTGGGTGTGCGGCAGGTGCGATATGGTAAAGCTGTCACATAGCTGGAAGTCTCGTTGTGTGGGTGAGCCCCATGAACATGTATGGGTTATTTTTTTCTGCAACTCCAGCTCTGCGGCTTGCGCTAAATTTCATAATTTTTGCGAGCGTCTGGCGCTGCCGGTGCTTGTCTGGTGTCTCCCAGTCACGTGTCATCCGTATCGCGCCATAAACAAACCCAACTTGCGTATTTCAGCATATGTATCTATGTATATGTGTCTATGTATATGGATGGCCCACTCCGTTGGCATGGAGCACCGTTTGTTATCCCGTTTGTCCCGCTCCCGTCGCCTCAATTCGATTTATTTTTATGGGGCTTCCTTGTGCACTTCTGCATTGGGGATACTTTTTGCGGCGCTCCGCTCACCCTCGCACTTGTTAACTGAAAATACTTTCTCATGCGTAAAATGCATGACAAGCGAAGCAGACACAGACGTTGACGCATTGAAATGAGGTTGGAGGATAAGCCTCTTTCCCTCCTCAAAGGTTATCAACTTTAGGCAAAATCATCGGGCTACAGAAAAAAATCAAACATATATTTGTGGACTTCTGAAACTTGTGCTTTAGCCATGAGAATGAATTTTTTTTATTATATTAAACTAATATTTGTTCATTTCTTATTAATAACTTAGCTCATAACATTAGGTTTACTTTCTCCAAAGAAAGTTAAAGTTGAGTTAAGATCAAGCTAAAAATATAATAAATCGATATTGAGAAGTTTATCCCTTCCTTACTTTCCCCTCCACTTAAGCTTCTAAACTTACAGATACCCAGAATCAATTTTTCACACTTGAAGTAATTGAGGATATCGGCCGAAAAAGAAATCATTCAATTAAATATGCAATCGAAAAACGGCATAAAAATGCGAAAACAAAGACCGATTGCCGGGGCAATATCAATTGGGTAAATATTCAGCGAAAAACTGCAAACACAATCGAAACTTTACCGCAGCTGAAATATTTAAATGGCTCAGGAAAAGGCAAAAAATATGCATAAAATAAACAAGATAAAGTTGCATCCGCCAGTTACGAACAATAATTAAAAGGATCCCTTGTTCGGCGGTCACAGCCTTTCGGCTGAGTCGGTCCTCTTTGGGGTAATCACTCCCCTTGGTCGGGCAATTACGGCTGGAATTCATTAACCCATCATCCCTGTGGACGGTGATAAGGCTGTTGAAAACTTTTTTTATGGGAATTACATTTTCTGCTGAAAAAGTGAGTGTAAAAATAAGGTGTGTATATTTAAGCTGACAGATTGAACACCACAATCATGCTTAGGAAATAGTAGAGAGGTGGGCTTTTAGTATTCAGTATTTTCGTATTTTCGGTTTAAATATTGAATTATCCAAAACAAAGATGCTTCAATGTTCACTAGTAAAAGAGTACTTGTGTTACAACAAGAAGGTACGCGGAGTTTTAAAATGTTGGAAAAGAAGGTTTAAAAACAACAGAAACTCGTTTTATGTTGAGAATAAGCATTTCCTCGTACATATTTTCTGGAAAGAAAAGGGGAATCTTGTTAATATGGATATATATTTGAAAACTCTTCTTGTAATTTGGTTCTTCTTCTTGGGAGTACCCTGTTCAAAATCAGCAACTTGAAAATAGGACAACACTCGTCGAGCCTGTAAGTAGCCACTGGAGAGCCTGGTAGAAGAAATTTGAAATTTTCAAATTCAGGGCAAGCAAAGGGAAATGGAAAAGGCGTTGAATATGCAGCAGGATCTGTCCTGGTCTGGCTCAAAAATGGCCCAGCAACTGGCCCAGAGCCGAGAGCCTGGCTAACAAATGTTCGGCTGGACAATGTCCTGGGCGGGCCAAGAGTTTATCGCTGCACAAGTTTTATGTTAACACTGACCACAACAAGACCAATGGCAGTAGCAGTCGTAGCAGCAGCAGTAGCAGTAGCAATGGCAATGGCGAAGAGGCAACAGCTGCTTGACTTCTTTTTCGGGCACTTTTTGCCTGCTTAGCTCCCAAATGTGCCACAAATACAAAGGCAAAGTGTGCGGACTCTGCAGGAGCCAACTCCCTCGCTGGCCTGATAAGTAAATGAATGCTGGATACTTTGGGGCGCGGGCGCAGTTTGCTGGATTTTCAATCATCAAGTAAGAGAAAGCCAGCCATGAGGGTGTTATTAATGTTGCGTTATCAGCAGGCCATCCCCACTACGCCGTAAAATTCATCGTACTTTCTATGCACTGTAAAAAACTTGGAAGATATTCTGTAAAATATCTTTTAAATTCAAAATTGAATAATAAATGGTAAAGACTATGTAACTGATTTAAATATTTTTTCCAGCAATTAAACATGATTTTAAATTCTGTCGTCGATTTCTATGACAGATTTTTCTTTTTTTCTGCCAGTGCTTTTACCGCAAAATGCACAGTTGGAGTAGCAAGAGCCAACAAGCAACAACCGGCGACCGACAACCAACAACCGACACCCAACACGCAGCAGCTGGAGGAGCTGGAGGAGATTCGGCCATGAGGATGCAGATTCCCGCTGCTGCTCCATGTTGGCTGCATAAAAACCCAGAAATTAGCATAATTTCAGGCACTCGGGCTGCGATGGCGCAACACTTGCGACCGCAGATAAGGCGCAAAATGAACGTAGCGCGTCTTCTGTGCATGTGTTTTTGGAAGCCAGTGTGTGGCGGTCGTGAGTGTGTGTGCAAGAGGGTGGTGAGTGCGTGGCATCCACATACATGCGTGTTGGGCGCGCTGTTCATCGCTTGTTATTTCGGGAGCGTTCTGTAAAACTTGCGGCATATGTGGATGCCAAGACAATCAGCAGTGAATTTTAAACTCTCTACTTTATAAAATATCTAAAACCTGAAAATATTTAAAATTTACAGCTAAATTTTAATTAAATTTCTGTATTATAATGACATTTACGAGGTGTGTTCAAAAAGTAAGGTGACTCTTCAAATTTCGCGAATTTCAAATTTTTCGATTATCGAAACCTTTTAGAAGTTATACGAGTTGTGTTCAAAAAGTAAGGTGACTTTTCAAATTTCAAATTTTTTAAATTTTTCGATTATCTTCAGTTTTGGGAACAAGAAAAAGTCACATGGGGCCAAATCCGGTGAATATGGTGGCTGAGGCATTATTGTGGTGTTGTTTTTGGCCAAAAAATCCAAATCCTTTGATCCATATTTTTCGATAGCAAAAAATCGCCGAGCTCGCAAAATAACTTGTAACTTTACGCCTCTCACAACCAAACAAAAGAGGATGTTCCATTGAAACTTGGTACAGATGTTAGGGAAGAGTGTACCAATATAACAAAACAAAAAAATCGATAATCGAAAAATTTGAAATTCGCGAAATTTGAAGAGTCACCTTACTTTTTGAACACACCTCGTATATATATTTCTTACACCACATCAAATTAGTTCTGAGCGCCAAACTTATCATTTCGAAATATTTGATTCCCTCGCTTGTTATTGTTCCTTTTGATATATTTATAGGAATATTTAGGAACACTGTAAAAGAATCTGTATAGAATCCAAATACGAGGATATCTCGCACTCTTGTTCCCAAAGAATAAAACGAATATACCAAAAAGGAAATTATTATTAAAGCCCCTTGAAGTGCATTAAGAATTCGCCTACTTAACTGTTGTTTTGACTAGGGAACCCCACTACTTCCCCACTCTTTGTTCTGTCTCATACACAGCGGCATACGATTTCCATAAATGCACAACAACGGCGAATTGCAATGCAGAAGATCTCGGACAAGAAAAGTAACCCGCGGCACAGAGTGATTTCCCAAAGAGAGTTTCCTAGTGGGACAACTTCTTATTCATGAATCTGTCGTTGATGAGGGAGCTCCTTCTCTAGATTAGAAAGTTTGGCAATGGTCTTTATTATCGAAAGTTGGAATAGCCAAAAACTCCCAAAAAAACTAATGGACGTGGATCACCTCGTTGAAGACCAGCTTCAAGGCAGCCATCATACCTACTCCATACAATATGTTGGAAATGTTTTTAAGATTAACAGAGCTTAGATCAACTTTAACAGAGAATGATCTTGGAATGTGAGGACTACAGTGTCGTTGGACCAGATACTGCTGGAAGTATAGTTGAGCCCGTTGCCAGTGGCGTCGTTCCGGAAAGAATCTTCTAACATGGATATTTTCGTCCTCAATCGCCTCTTCTTCAGTCTCGATGGGGAACCCATGCCAGCTTCCAAACATTCCTGCATAGGAATTCCATCCTAATTGACGTCTCATGCTGAGATCCGAATTGAAAAAGTAACCAAATCCGGACGCAGCTCCTCCGAATGTGCATCTTAACTGATTGTAAAAGGCCAGGCTTCGTTGAAGACTTATTTTTCGAAGAAGGCTGTTGCGGGTGTCCACTGGTGTTTGCGGCCGTTGTTCCCCTGCTGTCAAAATATTCTGGTTGGATGGTCGATGTGGACGGTTCAAGTCGGGACGTCGCACATGGGGGCCATCACCAATGATAACTGGTTCCACCACACGGGAGACTCTCTGAGTGCTCCAAATCCTCGGAGCGGTAATTCTGATTCCTTCACTGGTGGTTGAGGACATAGCTGATGGTAAAAGTCCGATGGCCTTGCAACAATTTAAAACCGATAAATTTTGTTTGGCGTTGATTCGACTTACCACCAAAGGCCAACTGAGTTCAGGCAACTTCTTGGGGCAGTTTTAAAGTTATGGCAGATGTAGATTTTAAATTAAATTAAAAATTTTAGAAATATTTGTAAGGAAATCGTATTCTTGAGAATTTATTAAAACTCTTAGAAAGTCGAATAATCATCTGTGCTGAATTTGTAAACCAAATCTGAAGAAAAGTTTTGAGTTATTGTATCATCCATTTTAAAAAGTATGTTCCCCACATTTATTTGCGATTTCTACAAGACATCGTATCTTTGATTGCCATATTTTTGCGGTTATTGAGCGAAAATTCCCCTGGCGCTGCAATTAATGACTGCGGCATATGTGAGTTCTAGGGTTACTTGCTCATATTGAAATACAAATATGTAGTCCTGATTAAGCGTTTCGACTGCGATTCCAGCAGGCAGCTCTAATTCGACCCCTTCCGGATACTGATGCTGCTGCTCGTCTGCTACTCAAATTGCAGGATGAGCAATCCATTTGCATGCCGCCTGAATGTCAGAAGCCCATTCTCAGGGTCCCTGCCATATCCGAGAATTCCCTGAACTGCGTCATCGGGTGAGCCACTGCTGCCTCTTGCACTTACACACTTGAAATGGCTGCCTTCATAATTCAGCGTGGAAAGTGGAAAAGTGGAAAAGTCGACTGGCAAAATGAATGATGAAAATCAGTTCCCCAGATATTCCTCTGGCATTCTATTGCTTGCATACAATAAACAATTTGCCTGCTGATTTCCAGCATGAATTGAGATGTCAGCAGTCTGCACTCGAGCCGAGCTACTGCCATTAATAATTGACTTGGCCCAGCCACACGGAGCGTATGGGTAACATTGCTGGCAAAATCACTTTGATTGGCCACGGCCACGCCCCTTTTGGCACCATTTATTTCTAGGCACTTGACACTAATTAAAATCCCCTAGTTGGCTAATTTAAATGCTGCGAGGCCAGGGCTACTTTTATTTTGCAACGGCATTGCCTTAATTACCTTGGGATGTTGGCATAAATTAACTCCTCCCTTTTATCCCCATGGCAATGCAACACTTCCAAGTGCGTATATATGTATGCAGTCACTGCCATATTAACCTGGTCTATTGTCGTTAGGAGACTACTTTATCCATCCTCCTTTTTTGAGTTCCAATGGCATGTGTTGTCAGTTTGGGTAGTATCTAACCAAAGGAGACTTGGTAGCCTAATATTCTCGACTCCAGTTCACTTTTATTTTTCAAACATAGTTTGGAAACTTGGTACTAAAATAAATAAAACCTACTGGACATACCATGACAAGCAGATAAAATATTACGTTCATTATTGGAAGAAAATAAATGCCAATTTGAGATTGGGAAGTTTCTTCTCGATAACAATAAATACTATAAAATAAAACATTCAAAGCCAGGGCTTCATTTGTTTTCATTTTTCTGCTTTATTTCCTAGGAAGGTGTAATATAATCCAGTTTTACTCCATTTTTCAGCTACGTTTTTAGGAGGTCATCTAGCAAAAACAGCATTTCTGAAGACCGTTCCGCTTTTCGCAACATGACGGCCCACAAGGTCCACAGGGACCACAGCGCGGTCCACAGGGGCCACAGCGCGGTCCGCAAGGCCCACAACAGGGACCACAAGGTCCACATGGCCCGCAACATGGCCCGCAACATGGTCCGCAAGATCCGCAACAAGGTCCACCCGGAGCACAACCCATGATTTTGATATAAGCTTCGAAATAAAATGTGATTCCTATAAAAATTCTTACACAAATTTAGGTTCTTAAAAAGTTACTTACAAAAGCACTGATCTAGAAAAATTGGAGTAAAAATTTAGATGTTTTCGCAGTGAAGGAAAAATGAAAACTGAAATGTCTTACTGGAAACAGGTCCTAGTTATTTAGAATTTAATTTCAAAGCCAACTAGATGTTCACTTCGCACAAATTTGGTTCTTTTATAACTCAATTGGTGGGCATGACCACCGAAACACATTTATGTGAGATCAAAGCAACCCAATGAGCCATCCAAGAACCTTATGAAATATTTAAACATTGTTTTTTTTCGACCTGATCGGGTTTTTGTAACCAACGACTTGGGAGTAAGTTTAGTGGAAAGATATTTTTGCGAATAACTATACTTTTAAAAAGAAATGAAAGTATTTCTGCATGTTCTTAAAAATGTTTTATAGAAAAAATTGTATTATCTTAATAGTAAAATGCGATTCAGGAAGCTATTTAGAAGACCCAAAAAATGATGTAAGGGAGCAAGTTGGCCCAAATCCATTTTTTCATATGCATATTTTGTATGTCCCCAATAAACCCAATATTTTTTATCAAAAAAAAATATATATCATGGTTTGTTTTCATTTTCCTACTTTATTTCCTAAGAAGATGTTATAAAATCCAATTTTACTCCATATTCCAGCTTTGTCTCCGGGCCAACAGCTAGCAAAAGCAGCATTTTTGAAGGCCGTTTCGCTTTTCGCAACATGGTCCACATGGTCCGCAGGGCCCACAGGGTCCGCAACATGGTCCACAAGGCCCACAGCACGGTCCACAAGGTCCACAACAGGGACCACAAGGTCCACAAGGCCCGCAGCATGGTCCACATGGTCCGCAACCCATGATTTTTATGCAAGCTTCTAAGGGAAATGTGACTTAAAAAAATGTAGATTTTTAAATTAAAAAGTTACTAACAAAAGCAGTGATATAGAAAATTTGGAGTACAAATTTAGATGTATTCGCAGTGGAGGAAAGATGAAAACTAAAATCCCTTACTGAACACAGGGTCTAGTAGCGTAGAAATTAGTTTCATAGCTAACTAGATGTTTAATTTGTACAAATTTGTTTGTCACGGCCCACCAGCGCTTTGCCACCAAAAGTTAACAACTATTTTTTCATTTTGATTTTGTTTCTGAGACCTTATTCGCTTTATTTTCCAACTACTTGGGAGTAAGTTTTATCAAAAAGATCACACTTTCTAAAACATTACCAGTAAGGAACAATATACATTTATAAGAGTAATGCAAGTATCAGATAGCAGTGCACCGGAAATGGAGCATTCCGTAACTCGATTCTTAGCATGAAGATAATGTCCATGTAGCTGTTCTTGGAGATGTATCCCATAATATTTGTTGTTCTGAGGTTATCTACCCAATTTGACTATTCAACACCTATTAATATTTTATACATATCATGTAAAAAAAAAGGAAGGAAAATATATTTCGAATGCATGGAAATAGGACTTACAGGGACATTGACGTAAATGTGTATACGGATAATCAATAATCTTCCTGAATGGGGGCCATGATAAGCATGCATTTGGAGCGTTTGGGCGGTAAATATGTACTTTCCAAATAAAATTATTTTTCTTTCATGGATGCAGCAGATAATTCGGTTTCGATTGCTGGAATGTAAGATCAGGGCAAGCTCAACGAGATCTCCAAGAAACTTCTGAAATATTTGCCAGGCGTAAAAGAATTTTTTTATAATTCCGATGCAATCCGAATGATCGCCTTCGCCGATTACCGACAAGATAGGAAAAACGCATTTGAGGAAAAGTTTTGTTTAATACCTGGAAAAGTAGAACTTATCCGAAAATTTAAAAAAAACAGCCTGTAAATTAAATTAAGGATAATCTACTGATAGTTGACGCAAATAATAAACTCGACACCAATCATGAACCCCATCATAACCATTAACCAATCCCATTAACTTTGAAGGCCATTTTTTTTCCATCCCAATTTATTATTTGCAGTTTTTTTTAGTATGTGGTGTTATTTTAACAATAGAGTTTGTGTGAAACAGAGGTCTATTTAGCACCAACAGCCTCCACAACAAGTGCCAAATGGACCGCAACAAGGGCCACAAGGTCCGCAGCAGGGTCTGCAAGGCTTGCAACACGGACCACAAGGCCCGCAGCAGGGCCCACAGGGTCCACAGCAAGGTCCACAGGGCCCGCAGCACGATCCACAGCACGGTCCACAACACATGATTTTGTGTTACGTCTATAAAAAAACAACAATGAAACTGATATTTCGAATTTAAAAATGTAAATCTCTTACAAAGGTTTGCACAGACCAAACAAAAAGTAATTTGAGACTAAACAACAAAGTTAGATGTAGCCGGAACAAAAGTCGGAATGAGAATGGTATTAGCTGGAAATTTGTACGGTACATAGGCTTGACAGGTCTAGGAAAAATTTTAAGGCCTGCTTTTCATGTAAAATTTAATAATAGTTTCTAAAGGGTTGTAATAAGTATAAGAATTTTTTAAAACTTTTTAATATATATTTTTGATGAATAGTCGAGTCGATTTAGCGCTGTCCGTCTTTGTGCATGAACGCTTAGGTGTTGGTAACTATAAGAGCTATATAGTATAGACATAAATGTATAAGATTGGGACTTAGCAATTTATTAAGCGGGGACATTGTATTAAACCTTTTATTGGTAACGCATTTTAGTAATTTGGGAATGGTTTTGATTCTAAACTTTAGAAGAGCAGATGAAGTCCCTAGACAACAAAGCAGAAACCAAATAAACGATTGACCATCTGGCGAAGGCAAGACGACTGCGAGAAGAACGAACGAAGCTAACGACGAGTGAAGCGAAATGAGGATCGCGGAGTTTGAGAGAAAGAGTCGACGACGAAAAGACATGCTCATGAGGAGCAAATTCGACGCGACAACGATTGAGTTTAAAAGGTAATCATAAGTTAATTAAAAATATATATATAAAAATGAATTAATTGAGAAATATAATATAAATTAAACCCCACAGTAATGCCTGTAAACCAGTAAACTGTGTCCTCTTTTTGAGAAAGACGCATTCTAGTCCTAAACTTCCCTTTGCAACGTGTTTTTTAGTCTTTTATAAAATAAGTAATAATAAAATCAAAAGGAAATATAAAGTAGCAACCGGTAAAACCCACTTATTTTAAGACCCCGCCTGACCCCATGATTTCCTTCTGCAAAATTTCTGTGTCAAAATAAGCCCACAAGAACTTCCAAATAAAATTAATTTTAAAATTCGCTCAATTTTTTATTGTGTTGGTCCACGCTTAGAGATGAGTTTGCCCTGCGTCTGTCTTAAGTTACTCTTAGTGGTTCACAGGAAGTAGATGTTGTACATGTTGGAGTTCAACTCCCTCAGCATGGTCCACAGGGACCGCAGCAAGGGCCGCACGGTCCACAAGGCCCGCAACATGGTCCACAGGGACCGCAGCAAGGACCGCACGGTCCACAAGGCCCACAACAAGGTCCACAGGGTCCGCAGCAAGGTCCACAAGGGGCGCAGCACGACCCGCAAGGTCCGCAAGGTCCACAGGGACCGCAAGGGCCACCACACGGGCTACAGGGTCCACAGAATCCGAGGGGTCCACAACACATGATGCTTCCGTAAAGTTCTAAGAGGAAAGTTAAATTTTAAAAGATCAAGCTGTCTAATACTATAGAAAAATCTTACTTTGAACCGAACAAAGAAATAACTCAAGACGACCAACAAATTTCGATGTTTACAGGCCGAAAATCCAAACAAGAATGATGAAAATCCGAATCACAGTTGGGATATGAATTTGACAACTGAACAAAATTTTACACCGCCAACTATATTTTAAATTCTTTTGCAGATTATATGTAATACATAAATGATATTTCGACGACAAAGTAGCCTTGCCAATTCAAATATCTAATGTCAAAAGTAGTTACGACTTTCTCAGGCTGATTTCAGTCAGTTTTCCGTTCCATCCTCGGCAGTGAACACCTAAATTTAAGGCAGTTTCAAGTTTCCTTTGGACTCCATTTGTAAAAAGTTCAACAAAAATAAAAACAAAATCATGTACATGTACGTCAACCCGAACTATGTTCTAGTAGGGGTATGTATTTCTGTCAAATCGGTTTTGTAGATCTTCCAAGCCATCTTTTAATAACCATTTTTTTTAAGGGACCCTGCTGCGGTCCTTGCGGTGGATGTGGTCCCTGCTGTGGTCCTTGCGGTGGATGTGGCCCCTGTGGTGGGTGTGGCCCCTGTTGCGGACCCTGTGGACCTTGCTGCGGCGGCACAAGCTCTTTCTGCGGTTGCGGCCCTTGCTGCTGAACCAACTGAACGGAAAACCCATGGGAATACTTGAGGCTGCCATGTGAAATACGAAAATTAAACTATGTGGGAGACAACAATCCAGAAGTATTATTTATTTGAATTAAGGGGAAAAATGTTAGGTTACTGGGCTTATTTATATTCTGATCCTAAAGATGGGTTAGCAGAAATAAGGGCGTCTAGTACTTAATCGTAACGCAGTTTTGCATGCGGCATCGAATAGATCAGCTTGTTCCAGAAATTTGGATTGCTCCTCTCCAGATAGGTGTTGAAGACCATATACGTCCTCAGCTCGCTGTCCAGGCTTTCGAAGTTCTTAACATCCGGGTAAAGAACAACAATTCAGGCGCTTGCATCGATCTTTTGACGTGGCATGGAGAGCAAGTCGGAACTCGAGGCGACCCCAAGTGGATTTCATGAAGTTATCCGTCATTAGGATAATGATACGCCGAGAGTCTCTGACAGAATTTCCGATGCAATCGGCAATGGATTCCCCCGCTAACCAATCTCGCAAGTAGAAGCAGAGTCGGAACCTGGGTCTCCCGTGTTCCAGCTTCTCCACGAACTCCTCCACCAGGGCCTCGTCCTTGTGGGTAAAGGCCAGAAAGGCATCAAACTTCTTCGACTCATCCAGTTCTCGTCGTGCGGCCAGGCTCAAACACACATCGTGCTCGTAGAACCAAACTAAAAGCGGCTGCCTGAAGCATATCATAAAGTTAATGGCAATGATCATGGCTAAAAGGGAGATCGCCAATGCCAAGTAATAGGCGAAAGCAGAAGGACATATGAAATCCTGATCTATCGAGACGAGTTTTTCACCACTGCTACAGAATATATCCGTAAAGTCCACAATACTTGAAGATATGCTTTTCATGAAGTTTAGATTTTCTATGTCCTTGCAAGAACAAGACCAAGGATTGTCAAGCATCCGCAATATTAAGGGAGATGTCTGCGTTCTATTCTCGATAAAAAGACGATCCCTTGGATGTAGTTCCGTAATATTGTTTTTCCTTAAATCCACATAGGTCACCTTGCCGGATAGCTTTGGCATCTTTTGGAGCTTTTCTCCTCGGCAATCGACTATAAAGGAGGAACTTGTTGAGTTATCCAGGCAACAAACACATTTATCAGGACAATCCTCTTGAGATATATTGCAACGGTTTAGGGTTATATTATATTCTAGTGATTCGTGGTCTCTCAAAAAAGACAGTAAAGATCTTGATTCACAGCCACAATTCCAAAGATTCCCTGACAGCTTAATTTCGATGGAGTCGTTAAAATGAATTAGAAAGTTAACTACCTTATTATCAAGGGCTTTCAAGCTGTTGTTACGCAGGTCTAGTAACCCAAGGTTCTCTGGTAGCATGTCTAGGGTTACTGTTGTTATATTATTTCCTGATAAATGCAGTTCAAGCAGGTGTGATATATGTTCCTTTTGATTTAAGGAAAGATTTTTAGGGACCACGTCCGGGAAATTATGTAAAAATGTGTTCCTGCAATCAATTCCTAAATTACTAGTGCGGCGATTATGACAACATTCGCATTTATATGGGCAGGCCACTGACATATTCTGATAATAATAAAGCTCATATTCGGAGTTATCAGAGCGGAGTTTTTGATGCAACCATTCCATGGACTTATAGATGCTCATGATTATATCAACGTCTTTAATTTTCTGAACCATACTTGGCACCAATAGGCCTTCATTGATCATGAAGTATTCATTCTTTCTTTCGCCAAGTCTAATCAAGTGTTGGCCTAAATATTTAATAAACCCTTCTGGTGAAACAGGTAGTAACTTTTTAAATACAGGTCGCATTTCAGCTTCTCTCATTAGAATATTCATTTTAAGATGCTTAAATAAGCCCAATAAAGGCTCATCATCGCAATAAACAATCCATGCATTGCCCGTCTGCTTAAATATGGCTATGGATTTTATATATTTTATCATTTCTCTGTTTATCTTAGTTATTTGATTAAAGCTGATATCAAAATAATCCAATTTTATAGGAAGTTGGTTGACATGGAAACCGGTTAACTTGTTTCTCGAAACATCTAACTTTTTAAGCATTTTATAACCACCTAAGTGGCTAGTTGGTAAATGGCTTAGATTGTTATCTTTGAATATTAGGCTTACACTTCCGATATGGGGAATGGGTATAGGCGGAATTTCTGATAGACCTCTACCGCTGCAGTTTATATTGAGTTCCAAAGTCTTGTAAATGTAATGGCAAAGGCATTTTTCGGGGCATTTTACGCCATAGATTCCCTGCAAAAAATTACAACTATTTTGCTGGCATATTAAACCTGTGTAGTTCTCATCGGCAATGTAATGAATGACCTTGATTAATTTGAGATTGGAAAAATTTGCAAAGTATTTTATATCAACCACCTCGTTGGTTTCCAGTACCAAGTGCTGAAGACTTTTTTGAAGGTTGCTGGAAATATACATTTAAAAATAATATATAAAAAATATGTCAAACTTAATACAAACCTTAAAAAGGTCAAATCACCAATTGTACATTTTGATATCACCAGTTTTTGCAAATTAACCAAAGGAGTAAATACTTTGGTGGATAAGTTCACAATATTAAATCCAGTTAAGGTTAATGATGTTATATTTGGCTTTCCTTTAAAAACATCTTCCTCAAGCCTAAGATCTTCAGTAGTTTCAATATTTCCATTAATTTCTAATTCCTTTATGTCATTACTGGTCTCTTTTATATAGTCAATTATTTCCTTCAAGTTAACCGTACTTTGAAAATTCAATTTAAGAGATTTTGGTCCATGGAGGAAATGAACATTTCTCTCTATTGCTTTAAAGGTATTCAATTGCTTTTCAAAGCGAGTTACCGTCTCAACACCAAGTTGTTTTAAATAATCCCTTCCTCGTATAGCAGGGTTAGTGTCTGATACTATCAGATCTTTTAATTTCAAGTTTCTCTCTTCGCTGATCGGGGTTAGGTTGGTTATATTTGGATCGACTCTGCTCCATTTGATTTCTAGAAATCCATCTGTCAGAATCAACTGATATTCGTTGGTGACTATAAAATTTGTATCCGAGTCATCGCACGTCCTTAATCTGATTGTTTCGTTGTAGATGCCCTTGCAATATCTTTCACAATAGTCATCTGGCACTATGTGCAGGAGCCTTCTCTGCTTGAACTCACATATAAGCATATTCAAAAATATCAAAAGGAACACAAATATTAACCGGAATGCTCCCATTTTTCACAAAGGTTGGACTTGAACTGCGGTTGCCAACTTGAGTCTTGAATGTTGCATCCACATTAAAGTTTAATGGGTCCCAATACTTCAATTATGCTTTCCGAAAAATTAAACAAAAACAATAATAATTTGGGCGGAATTCGAATTTGGAATACCCACTGCTCACAGCTTTGGTAGATCAAACCAAAAACGAGAGTTAATATTTTTATTATATATTTTGATAATCTAAGCTTTGATTAATAAAAGTCTCCCTGCTAAAAAAGTAAAACTCTCCCTGTCTTGCTTTTTAAGTTATGGTTTTTTGTAAATGACTTATACAAAATTTACATATTTATTTTTTAATCCTTAATACTAAATATTAATATGAATCTAAAGGAAAAATAGTATATGTTTTGGCAACGGCAATTTCGAAGATATTTTTAAAGTAATTGGGAACCGAGAAGAGTAACTGACCTTCTATAAATAACAATTTAACAATTTTGTGTACAATATAATTGAGATTTCAAATGAAAGGCATTTTGGTACTCTGATAAGGGTGTTATTCACCGAAACAGGATTGCCAGTTTGATAACGAATGCTTGGTCGAATCGAATAAAGACCTACATATATATGTCATGCACCTAACTTTATGTTGTATCGCCCAATCGGTTATATCAGAGAAACGTTCTTTTCTACACTACACATTTCTACTTCCCCAGTTCAATGAAACGTTTTTTAACGCTATCAAATCCACAACACAGTTCTAATTGCTTCTGACTCTCTATTGAAGTTGAAGGGAAAAGCACCGTGCCATTATCTGGCGTGAATAATAAAATGCATTACCATGCTAGCCATGCTTAAAACTTGTTAAGTTAAAAACAAAAGTCAAATAAAGCTGTTAAATAAAGTCCGTATACGAACAAAACCCTCAAAATTCAGTGAAATAAAAACCATTATTCGCAGTTTAGCCTTGGAAGAACCGTAGAAAGCAATCAATTTAGAGGTTGCCGACTTACACGATCAAATGAAATGAGTTGTAAGCTTTGTGGGTATTTTGCTGGTGCTGCAATTTAAATAATGCATCAAATGAATTAAGTTGCCAGCCAAATGAAGACGACAGCATTTTCCGGCGTCTGGAGGTGCTGGATGCGAAGGCATTGAAGGTAAATGGAGCAAATCTTTCAGCAGCTGCAATAAAAATCGAATCATGTTAACAAAGGAGTGAAATGAAGCGCAGACAAAAAGCCAACTGGCTAAGATGGCGACCGATTGTGAGTTTTATGTGACAAAAAGTGAATACAATCCGGCCAGGCAATAGTTCTTAGAAATATTTTGTAGAAAACTGAACTGTTGAATAGGCGGAGGAGGAGGGGTATATCTACGAGTATGTTCTTGGGACTCTTGTGTGTGTCATTGATATATCGTTCGAGCCATCGATACAGGAAACACGCAGACACACAGGATGGCAATAAAAGTGGTAATGATGTGGCACAAAAACGGGAGGAAAAGTACAGTCATTCGAGAGCGCCGGATATGAGTCTGGGTATTAGTGCTGGATGGAGACACCTGCTTAGCAACTTAAAGCTCAAAGTAAACTTAAAAATAGTTATTGCAGTAAATAAATTAACAAAAACCAAAGAAATATGTTCTCATTTACCCATATTCCTGCCTCATCCATCTGGCTTTAGTCAATGACCCCTTCAACATGCCACGAATATTATTTAACACACCACATTTAAATGCGGCAGCTTAATTTTCACCTGCACGGATATGACTCGAACACAAATCACGTTGCAAAAAGAACAGGTTTTGTGGGATTGGTGGGTGGCCGTACGGAGCTCTAAATAAAACATAATAGGGGTATGTCATCTAATTAAATATATCCGTGTGTAATTCTGTAGTTTAATTTCAACAAATGTGGAGAACTAAAATACGAAACATGCCAGCACATGTGGTTGCCAACAGTGGCTGCCAAAAGTATTTATTCCTGTTGGTTAATCCGTAACGAAGTAAAGGCTTAACTTTGGAACTTTCATCGAATGATTGTGGGTCGCTGAGCGAGCCTTCTTTTTTCTGAAACCAAATGGTGCCTGACTTACCAGGAGCACTGTGTATGCCACCAACAAATAAGCACAAACGGCAGACGTGCTCCGTTGAGGGTGAATACACACGGCTCGGCTTCCGGCGGAATATTTCAGTTGAAAATTTTTAATGAGCTCGAAATTGTCGCAGTAGATTCCGTAACATACCATGAAAAATCGGTGCAAAAATGTAAAGAGGGAAATAACATGAAATCAAATAAATAGGGGGCGGGTCATTTGGTCCAGCGTACTTAGGCTGTCACTCTTAATGAAACTAAAGGGGCAAGGGAATTTGTATTAAATACAAAAAAGTCGCCAAATTGCATTCATCAAATTACAATATATAATATATAGATACAATCCTTTCTGCTACCCTGCAGTCATGTGTTCTTGGGCTTTTGGTGTCAATACCATTCATACATACCCTACGGATAAATCTCAGACGTATTACACGAGTCGGTAACATTAACAGGATATGTTTTGTATGCATATATTACGTACGGTTGAGTGTGTGTAAGCCATATTCAAGTGGAAGTCTGGCGGATATCATCCTCGGCAAAGGATGGGATTTTGCGGTGGCTGCGGCAGGCCCGAAAACAACCACTGTAAAACAAACGCAAAACGAGCTTCTTTCTGTCCTGTACACATTTCGGTTGACATTTCGTTTTAATTTCACAGATTTACTTGTTACGTTCTGCCTGATGAACAGGGTGATAATGACATCGGTAAAGCCTTGATGCAAAAATAAATCATATTTGTTTTTCAAGGATGAAGTATTTTTATCGGAGCAGCTTTTAAAAACGATATTTTGATATTTTATAAACATTCCAATTGCAGCTATATCGAAATCAAGTATAGATTATATTATAAAGTTCTTCTTAAAAAAGTTCACAAATATTATACGACATTAAAAAATATTATTCTATACTTAAAGCATATCAGTTCTAGCCTATCTAACTTTAAGCTCTTCCAAGTTACAATTCATATAGTATATTTTCTTAAACTCGTATCTTTTTGTGATGAATATTGAATCCCTATAGATATCTCAGCCATTAAAAAGGCCGACATTCAATGGAGTGTCTTTAACGAACAATTTCCCGTTTCCTATTTCTTAGGCTTAAAGTGAGAGCAATGGGGCCCTTCCTGCACAACGCTAAATTGATCTTTTTCCGACTCACGTATTATAATCAAACCCAACCAACCGATAGATAATTAAAAAAGAAACGGAAATTAATTTGTCAAAGCGATGTTGATGCAAGAGGGTCTGTCTTGGAAACGAGCTAATTAAAATTATTGACAGATTCAAAAGTAAAATGCTGAAAGTAAAAAGAGCCCAGACTGAGAAGTCTGTCGGCTTAAGCAGAGCAATAATCCTTTCCAACAGCTGGATGGAAGTTAAAAAATCTACTGCACTGAAAGGTGTAGATACAATCACTCCCTGCAACTCTGGTTGGCCACACGCTGCGTATACGCAACCTAAGCGAGGAATGAAATATGAAAACAATTTTTCAAATACTGCCAGCTATCGGCACAATCCCCACAGCAGTGTGCGTATTATCTCAGCTCCCATCGCCAGCTAGCCTGGGCAAGTTTCGCTTCTACGATTGCAATTGCAATGTCGAAAAACTGGGAGCGGACTCAAAGGCGTGCGTGCGAGTATTATTCCGCTGAGCTAAAATCCACAATGGTTCGGTTATGAGCCGTGTTCTCTGTGCCCTTGGCAGCTGCTTCATCAACATCCAGTTGGATTTTCCCCTTCCTATATATTCCTGCAATATCGCTGTTGTATTTCGTGCTTTGATGCCGTGTATTGTTCAATGAGCCCGCGGGCAAGGGACGGCGATCTATTGTCAACGCTGCGTATACGTTATCTGTTTTTCATTCACCACCCATTCACCATCCCATCCGTTGCTTTCTCAAACGGTGCTTTTGTGTTTCGCTGTTTAATTGACTGTAGGAAATCAAACAGGTTTCGTTATCAAAAATGTAAAAGTCAATTTTGAAATAGAAATGATGAATCTAAAAATAAATTCAACATTCTTTTGCTTACTCTTTAGATATTGTTATCCTATGGAATTGCTAGAGAAAATCATATTAGGTAAATTAAGGAATATTTTTATAATTGGTTTAAGACAATTGTTGACCTTCTGATAAACATTTTTGTGTGCTAAAATTATACTTTGATTTTCTTCTAAAGGAGTACAACTTTATAGTTTTTTTTAAGCCATTTTTATAGCCATTTTAAGAAGTTCTCATTCACGGACTATTTTCCTTTCAAAGTTGTCAGTAATATACAAGATTTTATTCTTTTAAAAAAAAATCATTTTCTTTTAGCTCTTCCTCATTTTACATTCGCAGCACTTTTGCTTTTTGTCATGATTTTTCTTCTCATCCTGGCCAGATGAACTACATCGTTTGCCAATTACGCACACTATCTTGCGTCTTTCAGAATCAATAGACTTGGCAGAGAAGAATCTGCAAAAAATGGCAGCTCGACGTCAGCTTAACACCTTGAGGTTAAACCCAAAAGTACAAAACCATCAGAGGCAGCAGCAAAAACGCACGGCAACATGTGCAATTTAACCTTAGACACGCACGTCGGACGGATGGCTTTGAACAAAAGATACAAAAGGGATCAGGAACGGGAATGGGACTGGGACTGGGAATGGGAATGGGAGTGGGAATGGGACTGGGGTATTCAGGTGGGGAAACAAAAACCAGTTGGGCCAAAGGTAAGCAACGAAAGAATGAAACAATTTAGCCAGCACTTAACCGTTTAAACCCCAACTGAACCGAATGCACACGTTTGACCCAGGAGCGACACAACGAGGACATGTGGGAATTGAACAAGGCTGCAGCTCAAGATTCCATTGGGGGTGTTGTAAGAACAAA